GCATTGTACGTGTGCAGTTGCCATGGTAACGTGACTGTATCTTAACCAGCACATTCCTCCATTTCCTCTGCCTTCCTTCCTCCTCGGCTCGCTCGCTCCTCTGGACACGAGCTGACCACCGCACGCTGCTGATGTCACTGTCGCCATGGTAACAGGAGGCTGGAGGGTGAGGTCAGGGGAGAGGTAACTACAGGTCACTCCAGAGAGGCACACTGCATTCTAGGGCTCACCCACAGCCACACTGATGCTATGGAAATGAGCTGTGTCCACATGAGGACAGGAATAGACTGGAATATGGAGGGCCACTATTCAAGGCTTTCAGACAAACCATTCCTTCCTCGTGTGAAGGATTTGTCATGGCAACAGTCCTCCCCCAGTGCTGTTATAGCAATAATACAATTCACATCAAAATACTATATCAGGAAGGAATCAAGCCACAAACACTGACAATATAAAAAATACTTCTACTTAACTTTTAAAGAAGTTGAAGGCCCTATATTACGCAAAATGGACTCTTGTGAGTCTGGAGTTTAGTTTCATTCACATGTTTGAGTAACTCTGCATTATTAGACTGTCTGTATCTCCAAAGCTTGTGATGTCATGAAGCAGTCGTTTTCAAGTTAACAGCTCCTTTCATCTTTAGTAGACAGTGGAGCACTTCCTGTATTGCCCCTTGACATCACAAGGTGGAACAGAGGGTTTTAACCTGCTCCTGCTCCTGTGTGTGTGTCTCTGTTGGTGTTTGGTGTGTACACATGCTCTTGTATTAGGAGACAACATTTGGTCAGAGTAAACATCCACTGCTCCAACTCTGCGTATGTTTAACAAAGAGCAGATCACAGCTGCCTCTGCTGCAGACACATCTACAGTGACACTCTGCAGGTTTGTCTCACTTTTGATTATTTCATTAACTGGATCACAGGATATGATCCACATATGATTCCAAAATAATAACATTCGACTTTTTAATGGTAAAAAAAGTACCGAATTTTCTAGGTTATTAGATGCGCTCTTAAATCTCCAACCACATCAAAAAAGGACTGTGCATCACATTCCAGAGCACTCTATACACGAATCCACTCGAGTGTCCCAGCACGACTTCAGTAAACTACAAACACACCACCCGCAGAACACACAAACACACACAGAGCAGACAGCGACTGCACAGTGACAAACACCCACAGTCACACTCATCACTCCACACCCACGAGGAACGGAACGGAGGAACGAACTGAAAAAGCGAGTGCAATGTGCCACTTCTAGACACAACTGAACAACTGAGTCACTGTGAACACGCCGACAATCCGTTGGTCCCAGACACACCCTCCCTACACGCCACAACTGAACAAAGCCCAGAGTCACCGTGAACGCCACAAACAAACAAAACCACTCACCCATCACACTGTTGGGTTTCCTTTAAAGGCCAGTGTGGTTTATTTGTGAAAAAAGTTCGAAAATAGACCATTTAATGACAGTGCGTCTTATAATCCAGAGTGTCTAATAGCGCGGAAAATAAGGTAGTACCTTCTGTTTTAAAGACCTTTACTTTTTACTTGTTTTTCTTTCAGATGTTCTTATTTTCAACATAATAGTCAGTGTGTATAGCTCCACTAAATCATAGCATTTCATTGTTGTAAAGTATAAATACTTTATTAACAAACAAAGTAGCTAAATAAAAACCCCAGCATCATGTGTCGCGGTTTAATACCAACATTTTAAGACCAAAATGACGAGGTTCACAGCAGCAGGTACAGAGAGAGAGAGTGGGGACGGATTTTCAATACAAAGTGAACTGGAGTCTACGGAGTTGAATCGTGCCCATGTTCAGTTTTGGAGTACGGCTCTGTCCAATTATACACAGTCTATGATTACGCCTTTACCAGAGCAAACACGCAGCCATGTGAGCGCTCCACAAGCATGTTCAACTTTGATGATACACTGTGGGAATTTGAGGCTACTACAACTAATCTTCAGTACAGGTCCACTAAAACAGACTTTCAGAGAAACACTGGGCTGGTTCAAGTGGATTATGGGAATGCTCTTGTTGTCTTTTTCTCTTTGGAGACAGAAGAGGAGATGAAATGCCTCCTCAGATCTCCACTTCCAATAATGCTGGAGTCATGTGCTCTACCACAGGACTGCCCTCTGTCTGAGCAACTCACACACTGGAAACATTTACACACAGCAGCTGATACTTTTCAATAAAGGGATAGTTTGGGTTTTTGACATGAATCTGTATGGCATCCCCGTCATCTGCGTCGTGCATCCACACCGATTTACCCCCGACAGCGTCCGGTGAACCGAGATACTGGCCGTTTTCGGTGCTGATGAAAGTAGTCCGGCAAGTTGGCTGGGGACAGTAAAATAAAGCGTTTTTCTTCTCAAAACAACATGTGTTTAAAAGAGTGATACATCGCTTGGCACTATTTTCTCTCCGTTCGTATCACTGCGCACTGCCGTCAGGTGACAGCCGTGCACGGATCCATCACTTTCTGCAGTTGTTTGTCAGTGTTTACATGCGCAGACCGCCGCGACACGAGAGAGCTAACGAGAGAGCTAACGAGAGAGCTAGAGCCATAAGTATATAAGCTTGTATAAGATACATAAGAATATATCTAAAAAATGGTGCAGACTCTTGATTATCCAGGCTGTAACAACAAAAATCTGGCTGAATCTCCGAACACATTTCACCGTTTTCCTGTCACGGACATTGCTCTGAGGCGACATTGGCTTCTTGCCTTAGGCTTCAATGTAGAAACCAAAGATAAAAAAGCTTTGTGTGTGCAGTGCGCAATTCAGCGACGAAGATATATTCCTTCATGCCCAGGACAAAGGAAATCTGTTTTGAAGAGCACTGCTGTACCTGCACCCAGGTAAGAACAAAGAGGTGCCGCTGTGTTTACAAGTGGACAGGTGATGAAGAATCAGCTGTAACTCTGTGTGCAGTAAATCACTCAGTGTCATATCACCAGTGAAGCTTCTACAAAACATAACTTTATGAGTCGACTGTTATTACTATTGTAAATGTCTCGTACACTATTGGCAGCAGCTACGTGGACGTGTGGATGATTCCATGTTTCTATTAGTCGTCCATGCTTCAGTCACAGTGTCGGCTCTATGTTCGCTGTATATGAGTTTATAAATGACGTGATGGTGATTGACGGTCATCTGGTCTCTCAAGCTCCGCCTGTGGCTCCAGCTTCAACTTGTACCACCTGTACTATCATTTGTCCCTTTCTAGTTTGGTTTAGTCTTTTAATATATTTGATATTATAGATGATATATTTGAACAGTATAAGGATGATTGTGTTTATTTAGAATAAGTGACACACTTTCAGTTGGAGCTTGACTTTGTGCTTGTCTCTTATATTCACTTTCATTCTAACAGTCGATCCAAAAGTGTGTATCAGGTCGTCCTCTCGTCTCCATGGAGATGTGAGTGCGTTGTCTGTTTTCACCTGACAGAAATAAGAGTTTGGTGTTTTGATTGTTAATTCGACATAAATCTGCTCTATTTTGAAGTTATTTTTTTCCCCTTATTTTACTTTCTCCCCTTTTTAACACAGACCCACTCATGTTTGTAAGGTTATGTCGAAGTGTTTGTGCTTTTGGTCGAACAGGTGAGCATTATCTTACATTTATTCAATTAGGGTATTTGTCTAATTGGTAGAAACATTTGAGGTGTTTTTATTGCTCATAATTACAAAGAAAGGTGTGGCCTCTCCATAGATCTAACCTGTGACATGACCTGGTGGCTTCATGTTTGCACAGATTTAAATGACACATGGAACAGTTTTTATGCACATGAGGACAGGAAATGTTGTTGTTTGTGGAGTAAAAGTACTTTAAAAACTGTGGCCTTGCAGTCAACCAATTGTGTCCATTCAAACTGAGATTCAAATTGTGATTAATCTTCCAGCCCTAATGGCGATAGCAAAAGCTTGTCAATGGAAACATGCAGGTGGTGTACCATTTACCAGAAAAGTTACATAATGCACCTTTAACAAGTATTCAGCCACAGTCCACATGCAGAACAGCTCCGTATTGTGAGAGTAGCTTTGGTAGTGCTAAGAGTGGAGCTAAAGCCGCTTAGTGCACACCGCACTGCTGCTTTATCCAATGTGTGGCTCTCAGCGCTTCGAGCGATCATCAAAATAGTGTTTATGCCAAAGAGACACAAACACGGAGTGAAGCTCAGCCTCGCTCCACACAACACGTGTCACAGGATTAAAGAACTCGCCCTGTATGTACACGCGTCATATTTACACAGGCATGTCGGACGAGAGGAGGAGGAGAGGAGGAGAGAAGGAGGAGGAGAGGAGGAGAGGAGGAGAGGAGAGGAGGAGAGGGGAGGAGAGGGAAGGAGAGGAGGAGAGGAGGAGAGTGTCTGTGGGTTGCAGAGCTGCAGGAGCGTGCTCTGCTGGGCACATGTGAGCTCAGACTAGAGCTGTTAAATGAATGGCAATCACATGGAAATAACATGTTCTGAAAGAGGAGTCTTGTGTTTGATCACATCATATTTGAGTCTTTTGTCACTTCTTCTGGATGTGTTGAAAGCTCCAGCTCTGGTGGGTCACTGCTTTCTGAGATGTGATGTGGAAATGTTCTGGAGAACAAATGGATAATCTGCCTCACACTGCAGCCCTGTTGTTCCTGTGTGACGTCACACGCCTGAGACCCAGGCTTTCACAAGTGCACAAGCACACACAGCTCTACACGACGCTTCAGGACACTGGTGTGTGTAGTGCAGACACACGGGAGTGGGTGTGTGTGTGTCAAAAGTGTTGTTTTGGAGCAGTACAAAATGTGAATCTAATTGAACCATTTAAACTCAAAAGTGTGTTTACTGTTAAATCTGAAAAATAGCTATCTGAAAAATGTTTGTGTGTGTCTGTGTGTATGTCTGTGTGCACGTGCATGTGTGTGGGTGTGTGCGTGCATGTGTGTGTGGGTGTGTGCCTGCATGCGTGTGTGGGTGTGTGCGTGCGTGTTTCGCTGAC